AAATCATTTGCATATTTTGGCAGTTTTGAGTTAACATTCCTTATCCATTTCCTCCCATCAAAGGAATTAGCAAAAAGACTGATGCCCTCGCAATCATAAATCACCTCTACTGGATGGCTGCAACTGCCACAGAGGGCAATGGGGACATGCTAGAGGCTATGTGGAAATCACTGACTAACCACATTCAAGATGTTCATGAAGGACATAGCGAATTATATCCAAAATGTGCCCATGGCCATCTAGATGAGGATGATCGAGACAAGGAGTGGCTCCAACCATGTAAGATATACAAGTCAATAAAACTTACAAAACTACTGTTTTGACAAGTGTTTTTCTTATGGTGGCAAATGTTGTTTTACTTTATATTTGCTTTTCAGCATCAAAGGTTTGTGAGAAATTAACCGACATCCTACTCAGCAAGTCCTTGTTGAAAGACATCAGGATGGTATCACCTCTCTACCAGACTTCTTCTCTGGAGGCACTTCACAGTCTTGATATAATATTTGCACCCAAACATACTGCTTTTGCATTCTTAGCTATGTATGCCAGGTAAATTGCTGAACAAATTATACAGAATGATAAAACCATCCTTTGCTAGAACTTGTGACATTTTCAAATGTAACAATAAACAAGACCTACTTTTTTTTAATTTCAATCGATAGACTTTTGTTGGCTGCCCTTCACTACAATGAAAACAGTGATCGTTTACAGGCAGTGACAAAGGATGGAAGACCCTGCTACACAATTAGGTTCCCAAAGTTCAAAAAGGGAGAGTATTCAGTGCGAAAGGAAAAGACATCTGCTACTTATGGTACACTACTGGTCTCTCTTACTATTTAGCAGAACTAAAAGTATTTGATTTGTTTGTTTCATTGTTTTAACCTCGCTTTTTGTCCTCTTCAGTTCTATTCCCTGATATTTTACCTTTCTTTGGAAGAAGTCAAATATTAACAAGTACAGCAATTGTGTTTGTATAATTTAAATTTTATAACCCGACAAGACAAACAATTACATAACTCGTGAATATTTATTATTCCTAGGTTATACCGAGGCTTTAATTGAAATGTTGTTATTGGAGTATGAAGAGGACCAAGGGTCATTAAAGAATTCTATACAGGATGTAAGGGAATCCATGCCAGCCCCACTTGCTGCTTCCTTTGAGAAGCCCTGCAAAGAAACAGCAGTTCAAGAATATGTGTCTCGGTTTGCACAGCGGTGAAAGTTCATTCAAAGGTCATTAGGACGATATTTTTACTTTGAATATAGCTCACAAGATTCCAAGTTCAGCTTGCAAAACTATCTTTCTGTATTTGTAATCGAAGCAAACACAAACAGGGTTCGATAATTGCACACTTGGAAATCTACACGTGACAATACGCTTATCAATAATAGTGCTTCGGAGGTGAAGGAAAGCAATACATAAATGTCTCCTGACGTACAGGCTCAACCGCTAGTGCTGTAAGACATGAATAATTATGATCTGCATTAATATGTACCTTTGTTTCTCTCAGAGGTGTGGCGGTTTTAATCCAGTGTAAGATGTTCCAAACTCCGCTGGAAAAGTGCTTCGGATTTTGTTTACAGCACAAGATGGCAGAGCGACCCTCACATGTTTGCCAAGATAACCCCAGCACCAGCGAACGAGTTGTCTGTAGGCAATGTAGCGAAATTTCCTGCAGGGAAGACGAGACAACTAGCTGTACCTCTGTATTATTGAATCGATAGCACAAAAAAACTCCAGGAAATCGATCTCAAAATGTAACAAATCAGATAAAAAGCAACACAGCTTACTCGTTTTCGGTGTGATTAACTGTGCCGTACTGCTGTCTGTACGTGTAATAGGCGGTCTCCAGCACCCAGACATCGAGGCAGGTTGACTGAAAACCTGGATGTTCTGTGATGCAACTCAGCTGGGTTTCAGGCCTTTGTTCCTCCACTTTTTGCCACACTTGCCCAATTTCCGTACAACAAACACTCACTCGCACCTTTGATAATTTTATTTAAAAAACCCACGGAAGCTCAGGTTAAATAAAATTTCTCTTGTATTCTTTTAGACTGAACCCTTACTGTGTTGGATTTTCATGCCAAATACAAATAAATCACACAGTGAATTAAATACCAGTCTGTATTTCCGAGACGATTGTCATCGCTGTCAACCGGTTCTATGCTGTCTTCGTGCGGATCGTTTCGGGGAATCCTACGCGGCTCATATTGATAGGGACGTGGCCCAGACTCGACGAAAGGTTCTGAATTATTCCCATCGCTGTCATATAAGTTTAGGGCATTCGAATCACTCTCTTCTGACAAAACATCGTCCGAACTACTACTACTTGCACGAGCTGCCATACCAATTCTACAGTGAAACCCCTATTGTGCAAACATTTTCGTTCCACTGCTTACGTCACGACTTCTCGCTATTGTTTCCACCGGAAGTGGAATTTCAGTTTAAAATGCCAATTTTCTCCCTAAAATAAGTCGAATTGGGCAAAACGAATAGCAAATTCGTTTTCTATGCGACTTTTTACATTGTTTAAGAAAAACTTGTATTTTTGGGTTTACATGCCCTTTAAGCCAATAACCAATGTAAACAAGTTTGTGCTTAGTTTTTCCATGTTGGATATTCGGCCATAAGCCGAATATGAACATGTGTAGTGACCTATACTAATTGTTTGTGTTTTGATTTCAAGAAGATCTTGCTTATAAGCCAAAAACCCTTTTTGGACTAAAATTTTGGCAAGACTTCAGAAATTTTCTAAAAATATCACTCAGCTTACAGCCAAATAACTGCAGTAGTGTGGAACAAAGCTAAAAAAAACCAAGAATGTACTGATGGTGGAACTGAAGAAGACCTGACAGGGTGTTTTGCACCGACTGACAATAAGGCTTATTTGCCTTATGGGCCATACAAACAACAAGCAGCAAAAGGCAAGAGGAAAGCCTTTGACAGTTATTCACTGTCCACACTAAGGAGAGCTAAGAGGAACCTCAAAACATGGTCAATGCAACCAGTTGAAGTTCTTATAGGGTGCTTAAAAAACTTCAAAATGAAGTGCTACTTCAATGGAATTGATTTCAAGGCCAACCTGGACTTGATGCATACCAAGATAAATCGTTATTTGGCTGTTGATTTTACAGAAGAATTTGATCCTGGGGCTGTTACTGAACAAGTAAAGCCTCTATAAGAAATGAATGAGAGGGAATACAAAGCTTTGAAGAAATACCAAGATGATGAAAAAAGTCGTATCAAGAAAGGGTGTGATAGCTTTAGAGAAAAGATAAGAAATATGAGACAAGATTTTTAGGCACCAGTTAACAAGGGTACAAGAAGCATAAGTGGGAGGATTGCTGAAGAAACTTTTGAGCTGTTGACTGAAAAATGGGGTAGGCTGCCTTGTTTGTGGTTTACAAGGTCCCTTTCCTTTGGAATTGATGGAGATACATTCAGTAAGCTCTGAAATAGACGTAAGCTCTGAAATAGATGATGAAAGGTGCAAAGGTGTGAGTTATTAAAAAGTTATACTTCCATTTCCAACTTTGAATCTATGATGTTGACCCAACGACACCTTCGTTTTCTTACTGCAAAAAAGACGAGATAATTTGTTGAAACTGGAAGATGACTTTTCCATCATTGTTACCAGAGTGAATGCTGGAGCACATGTATGGACACTATGAAGAGTGGTTGGCTGCTGACAATATTTTGGTTTTAAAGTGGTAAAAAGTTAGAGGCTTTTTTGTTGTTAGAAATGATCATTTAGAAACAAATAATTCTAAGAGGTCATTCTAACATTCTTTAGTCCCACTGCCTCCAATTATTCATTACAAATTTTAGATACATAAACTTTAAAGTCACCCGATTCCTCAAGTGCAAGCCAGTCCACAGGAAACCTCTGTACCACCCCCCTCTTAAAAAAATTATATGGAAGTGGTCACTCTTGCCAATATCCCCTGGTTGGTTGACAACAATAGAGGGCATATGAAGAAACTTGCCAAGGAAGCCAAAGGAGATCTCATCATGAAGAAATGATGAGGCCATTTGAACAATCAAACAAGACTTCGGAAGAGTCTATTTCAAAACTGACCATGTGTTTGACATCCATAGAAGATGGAATAGCCAGTGGGATGCAAATGTTAGCAATAGCCTTCCCTAAACAACCCCTAACCACTAGTGTATCTCATGTTCCTCCAGTATCACATAAAGTGGCGTTGCCTCACCACCTTCGTATGGTACCCCATTATGCTGAAGTTCTATACACTCCCCATTCAATAGAATTGGTGACAAAGAATTCAGTCAGTCCATCACTAGGTGAGGACCAATTGTAGGTGCTACACACATACACACTATTGGAAGATGATATCTTCCATTAACTGAGATAAGTGTTTTGTCCAGTTGAACAGAAAGACATTTGTTGAGTTATAGGTCACTGTAAAAGATTTGATATTAATGTATATTACTTCTAGTAGTTATTTGTGATTATATACATATACATACATATGTATGAGTCCATGTATAGTTTCTCTCTGTCAAATGAGGAGTCTTTCTTTTCTTAAAAGTATATAGAGTATTCGAGGTTGCACTGATCTCACTAAAGGCAAGTGAGGTCAAAGCAAGTAAATTGTGTCCAACATGGCGGATGGTTATGCTCTAGCGACTTCTGCTCTCCATTCTGTGCCTCTCTGCAATTTGCCTCCTCACAATAGCTTCCTCGATCATTATTACCATGGTGCACAATCTGAAGAGATTGTTTTTCGGCCACAAGTATTTTCCAGAACGAATGTCGATGTTGGAGTGCTCATTGTCGTTCCACGTGGTGGCTTTCGAAAACTTGGGAGGCTCCAGCGTTCAAAGTTTCTCTCGAGGCGTATTAAATACTCAAATGCTTCCTGTGCTTTTAATCCAGCTGTTTACATGATTCTATGCAGCGGCGATGTAGAAATTAATCCTGGTTACGTGCCTGAATGTTCGACTCAAACCTCAAAGACAGGGTCACACTTCGAAGTTGAAGGTATTCTACACAAATGTTAGGAGCACTGTCAACAAGGTTGCCAAACTACAATTGGAACTGGCTAATAGTCAAGTGGATATTGTTGTCCTAACTGAAACACATTTAGACTGTTCAATTTCAAGTGAGGAGGTAATCAGCAGTGATTATACTGTCTACCGGAAATACCGCGCTGGCAACGGAGCTAGACATGGTGGTGGTGTTTTGATCGCAGCGAAGAAAGGCTTGATCACCTAGATACGAGAACATCATGATCTGCCTTCCGAGTTACTCTTTGTTGATATAATTACGGACATCAAGAAGAAATTAACGATCGGAACATTTTATAGGCCACCTAATAGTGACTTGAAGCCTTTGGAAGACCTTCGGTCATGTCTTTCTTCAATTACAAGCACAGATCTTCTCGTCACTGGCGATTTTAACCTAAGTGAATTTGATTGGTCTACAAACCATCCTACAAAATTATCTGAGCATCATTACCTTCTGTCTGATATAATTCAAGACAATTTCTTATACCAAATGGTTGATGAACATACTTGTGAGAATAACATATTTGACCTAGTACTGACGACAAACAGCGACCTGATAAATAACTTGGAAGTCGGTGAACCATTCTCTGACCATAATTCAATAACATTCATCGTAAACACTCGCCCCTACCAACAACGGATCCCAATGAAAGAAAATTACGCATTTAGCAAGGCAGACTGGAACCATCTAAGATCTCTGTTCAGTTACTCACCCTGGTACTTTACTTTAGAACAACAGGACATTAATGCTAACTGGGAAGTATGGAAAGATCTTTATTTCGCAGCAGTTAACGAAAGTATTCCCAAGTACTGTCACAAAAGAAAAGACATCGCTCCATGGATTACGAAGGACTTAATTAAATTGAGCAGGAAAAAGAAACACCTTTACTAAAAAGCTAAAAAATCCAACAGTGAGGATCACTAGGTCGCTTATCATACTTTGAACAACACTTTGAAAATGAAATGTAACTCGGCCAAATGGAGCCATCTTAAAGCACTCGCTGATAAATTACAGGTAGAGAATAATTCCAAGCCCTTTTGGAACTACATGAGATCAATAAGAAAAGGTGCTAACGACGTAGTGTTCCTAAAAGAAGGAAGTGCCGAAATTGCAGGTGATCAAGAGATTACACAACATATGAACGCATATTTTGCATCAGTATTCACACATGAACAAAGGACTCTTCCAGAATTTAATTATGTTCTAGATGAAAAGTTATGCAATGTATTATGTACACCTAGCGAAGTGGAAAAACATCTGAAAAACCTAAACATACACAAGTCTCCAGGTCCTGATAAATTATTGCCTCGTATCCTAAAGGAATGCGCACTGGAACTATCTACATCACTTTGTAATCTATTCAACCCGGTGTGGTCACCACACCTAGCCAATTGAGAAAAATTGAGAAGATACAAAGAGGAGTTTCGAGAATTACTTTAAACCAAAGAAGACAAGAGATGGTGTACAAGGAGAGGTGTAAAATTCTTAAATGGAACTCTTTAGAACAAAGGAGAGATTTTCTTTCCCTGGTGGAATGTTATAAAATCGTATTCAATCTGAATGGATTAAATTTCAGCGATTATTTTGAACTGTGCAGGAACACTTAATCGAGATCTAACCATCCATATAAGTTACAAACCAAACTCGCAAAATTGAATTGTTATAAAAATTATTTCTTTGTCAGAATTATCAAACATTGGGACGATCTTCCTATTAATGTATTTAATTTTCGTGACTGCCCTGACGTTGGTAAGTTTAAATTAAGATTGAAGAATCATATGAATGTTTATTGAATGACCATTTTATATTTATTTATGATACTTATCTGTTTTTCACTTGACTTTTTTATATTTTTAGTACTTGTTTTTGTATAGTGACCTTAAATAATTTTTTTTTTCTTTAGGAAACCCTTGATATGGGGCTAACCTCTGGGTTTACTTTTTCTTAATAACTACGTTTTTGTATGTTATTCTGAAATAAAGTATTGTATAAAGTAAAAATTTGTTTATTCTTGAATTTACAAAGAGTCTTCTGTCATGCACACTTCCTGGCCATTTCACTTCCACATCTAAGAGTAGTCCTTTCCATTCACAAACTTCCTGAACATTCAAGGGTTATTTGAGCTTATGACTCAAGTAGACAGAGAGATTCTTGCTTGGTTGCCCAATGGGCATATGTGCACCATTTTCAAGATGTTCAGGATGGACATAATGTATCTTTATTTCTGCAGTGAACACCCAATACAGTCTTTGATGGTGTTATTCCTGAGAATTCTGTTCGCAACATTAATTCCTAGCACAGTTTGAATCCTTCCTG